ATGATGAGAGAGACACGCAAACTCCAAATATACAGCAGGCGTCAGGGTCGGGATCGAACCCACGGCTTCCTGCACATCAGGCGAGGTAGTTAACATCTCCTAGCCACCGTGATGATGATGATGATGAGAGAGAGAGACACGCAAACTCCAAATACACAGCAGGCGTCAGGGGTCGGGATCGAACCCACGACCTCCTGCATATCAGGCGAAGTAGTTAACATCTCCTAGCCACCGTGATGATGATGATGAGAGAGAGAGAGAGACACGCAAACTCCAAATATACAGCAGGCGTCAGGGTCGGGATCGAACTCACGAATTCCTGCACATCAGGCGAGGTAGTTAACATCTCCTAGCCACCGTAATAATGATGAGAGAGAGAGAGACACGCAAACTCCAAATACACAGCAGCAGGCGTCAGGGTCTGGATCGAACCCACGACTTCCTGCACATCAGGCGAGGGTAGTAAACATCTCCTAGCCACCGTGGCGCCCCAAGAGAAAAGGGGAAACACAACGGAGTCGTCGAGAATACGCGCATGTCTAGTGACGTCATCTCACCTGTGACGAACATCACGTGGGGGCTTGGGCAGCAAGGGACGACGGTCGATTGCCAAGCGGAGTGTGGCGGCGGGTTTGCCAGTCGTCGTCAGGCTGAAGACCCGAAGAGCCAGTCTAGAATTGGACCCTGGGAACCCCCGGACTTGACGGCCTTCTCAGGGCCGGGACCGAGCGGGGCAGTGGCCTGGACCCGATGACCTTTGGCTGGGTCGGGTCAGCTAGCCTCCCCTAGGTCCCGCCTAGCCCGAGGGCTGATATATATGTAGTGGTGATAACTACTCGCTGTTCGCAAGCTGTGAGAGAGCAGTTAGTAAACAAGGTTTTCCCGCTCAATCAAACGGTTAGGGTCAAATGGGGTGAGGTAGGATCCAAACGCCAGATTGGGAAGGACCAATCGGAGGGGTCCACGAGGTGGCCGGGGATTGGACAACCCGGCCACGAACAGGTATAAAAGCCGGAGCGCTGAGAGCTCTTGGCCAGTTCTGCTACACGAAGACCCAAGTCGGCCGAAGACATCTAGGACCCTGGACCAAGCCCTCCAGCCCTCGTCAGGGCTAGGGCTCAGAGTAACCAGTGGTCGGGGAGAGATCCCCTAGGTCCAGCCAGAGGACGCTGGGAGAGCAGGGAGATTAGATAGCCTGCAAGGTCCGGAGGCTGATCCTCCTCAGGGTAACGGGTGAGGGGACCATATACCCCCTTAGTGTGATAGGGGCTGTGTATTAAGATAATCAACAGTGTGTGCCATAAAGAAGTTTAGAAGTCCGTCCTTTACAACACTACAGATATATAGAGGAAGTGGTCCCAGTGAGTAGGATACACTAGCTCGGAGGCTATACCTCCCCAGGGTATCGGGTGGAGGGGCCGATACCCCTTCGTGCTAGCGACCTCGCGTTATAGTCGTTACTGTTAAATAAACGCGTTGCCTCCAGCAGAAGACTGCGTCTCCATCATTACCACTGCAAATGTAATTGGCCCGAGGGTTGCGTCCATCCGACGTGATGGAGCGATGAAAGCAACGGACATTAATTGAACGAGGCGCGCTTAACGACGGCATCGTCGCTGAGCCTCCGCACGCGTGCACAGTGCGGCGATGACATTTGAGACGCACGAAACGATAAATGGCATGAGCCGTTAAAAATGTGTTAAAAGATGCTGAAAAGAGATTTATGAAAGACAGCTTCATCAGCTGGCGTGGGGGTTTGCCGGGCGCGTTGTTAGAAAGCGGGAGACGGTGGCGGATTGGGGGAGGCCTTCATCCAGCAGTGGATCGACCGCGGTCAATGCCGACACGCAGATCTCCTGCGCGTTCAGCGGAGACAATTTGCATATCGAGGATGCGACCCCCCCCACCCCCCCGACATTATCCCCGTGTCTTCCCCCCCATCACCCCGTCGGCCCGGCTCCCCGCGGGGACCGCCTCGCTTACACACTGTGCTTCGGGAGTTGTATTACAAAGGCGAATATTAAGAAATTGAATTATTGAATGTAATTATGGCTAATTGGCTTCACCATCAACTATCAAAACACGCCGCTTGATGCTCGGTGCAGCGTAATGGATGATTACATCTTGCCATCCTCTCGCGAACTAGGTATGTATATTTTTTTGCGTGCGTTTGTGTTGTACGCCGTTGATGCCTGCCAGCCTGTGTCGTTGTTGCGCACTTTGGTTTTTTAAGTTTCCCAGAGCGGAGTTGTGAGTGCGAACAAACGACGCACGTGTGGCTTGTGTACGCAGCCTGGCAGCGGAATTGTGTCTAATTGGGCTCATCTCCTCGTGGTTTATCGGAAATCTATCCATGCATCCCGCGAGGATTAGTGTTCATGTGTTGTCGACCGACGGATTGATTTGGGAAAAGCAAATCAGACAATTTGGACTGGATATAAAAATAAGGGTCCGATTTTTTTTCTTTGTCGGATTTTATCTGAGAAATGTGTTGTCACGTGACATCACAGCAAGTGACATCACACTTTCTTGGTTCTTTCGGTAAAGTCACGTAGAAGGGAAGTAATAAAATAATAAAAATAAAACATAATAAAACAATTCTCACGACGTTTCGGCCACAACGCAAGCAGCCAACGTTGTGGCCGAAACGTCGTGAGAATTGTTTTATTATGTTTTATTTTTATTATTTTATTACTTCCCTTCTACGTGACTTTACCGAAAGAACCAAGAAGATGAATCCCTGCAGTCACGAAAGCTTTAAATTGACATCACACCGCGGTGTGGCCATCTGTGCCTTTCCTGACGAAAGTATCCGCTACGTGACCTCACCACCACGTGACCTCACCGCCACATGACCTCACCGTGACCTCACCGCCACATGGCCTCACCGTGACCTCACTGTGACCTCACCGTGGCCTTACTGTGACCTCACCGGGACGACACCGTGACCTCACAGCCACATGACCTCACTGTGACCTCACCGTAACCTCACCGCCACGTGACTTTATCGCTGATGCAGGGTGTAGCTTTTTGTTACATTTTTGTTACATGAAAAAGAGATTAGTATTAAAATGATTGCGTCACTCACTTAGGTTTATGATAAATAGCATTTAAATGTATTGCATAAACAGTGTAAGTTTCTTAATGGTTATGAATTTAAATCCGAAATCTTTCGTTCATGTAATTGGACCAACAAATCAAAGCGTCCAATATTCAACGAAATTAAATCCAATGCTCACTCACCTGTATGTTTACCTGCCAGTGCACAAACTCAGTAGAGGGGTGGCAATTAAACCTTCCACCTACCTCCTATCCCTCGTGACCTTGTGAATTGTTTAACGTTGTCGTGAATGTAGCAGCCACGAGTGGCTGCCAGCATTACGTGAACCAATGACATGCAACAGGTTTTGAAACCAAAATCATTGATTCTTACGCATGTATGTATGTACGTACGTATCGCGAGATTAAGAATCGATTTCAATCGATGAATCGATGCACCGTCAGTCCTGACGTTACCCAGCGGCGCAGCGTTCGCCGTTTGTTGCCGAGGTTCGTGGTGCGAATTCGACGGGCCGCCCCAGTTAATACTGCCGCTGTATTGGCACTGTCTGCTTCACAAGTAGGACGTCACAGATTCCAGTGAGGCCATCGTGTTGTAGGCGTCATGGCTCCAATCTTTTTTTTTCTCTCCAAAATTTGAAAATCGCCTGCAAATGACTCGGCGGGACTTCTTACACATGGAGCGGTGGCCACTGGGATTAAACGACTCGCGATTTGAATCTGCTGCCCTCACCCCCCGAGTCCATCGCCGGAGTCGCGTGGGGGTGGGGGCGGTGAATTCTTACTATCTTGCAACAGATCCTACCCGTCCACCCAACAGCCACGCACCGATTCGACTCGCCTGTTAAACTGGAGGCGCTGGCCACGTGTGGTGTGCGTGCATTTGCTCGTGTTTCTCTACACGTTGTGACGGATGGGTTCACGTGTGGCCATTGGTGGCCGCTTACATTCGCCCCAACGTTCAGAGAACGATCAACGCTAAGAATCGAATCGTTGACAGGTGAGATGTTAGCTACCTCGCCTGGTATGCAGGAAGTCGTGGGTCCGATCCCGACGCCTGCATATTTGGAGTTTGCGTGTCTCTCTCCCCGTGGTCGCGTGGATTTGTCTCCGTGTATTCCGGTTTCCCCTCCACATTTAGAATAAACGTGCATTTAGAGTATTTGGCCGCTTTAAATTTCCACACGATGATAACCCACTTCATTGAGCTCTCATTTGTGGCCAGATCGCATCTGTAAAAGAGCTACATAGTTCAGTGGTCCTTACTTGGTAATATAAAAATAGTTTAGTTTATAGTTGAGTTCAGACAAGTCGCTCATGGCAATCGATCGCCTGCCAGGTGCCTGATTAATCATCACAGTGGTCGTGGGGAGCTTGCCGTGCTGTTATGGTTATATCGCAATGGACTTGTGATCCAGACGTCGGCAGTTCGATCTCCCGGCAAGGCATTTGACTCTACGGTGCTCCTGGCCACCGGGCGGCTCATGACATTGGCAGGTCGCGTACGCTGGGGTCAAGTGGGGTCAAGTGTGCGTACCCTCGAGCGCCTCTTCCAAGACGTCAACGTGCAGTCTCGAGGGTGCTCTCCGGAGCTCCCTCGAGCGGAGGCCCTCCCACTAGCAGCGAAGACATTGCAGGGGCTGCGCCTTCGCCGCGGCCAATACAAGTGGGGGGGGGGGGGGGGAGGGGGGGGGAGGCTTCGATGCAGTAGGCGACGGGAAAACGTGCCGCTTTATTTTTCATTTGCGTCAAGTTTTTTTTGTTTTGTTTAATAGCAGCGTGAACATGTTTTCGAAATGGGAGTGCGCGGGTCAAGTCGGAGTGGCTCAAGTCGCAGTGACATGACATGCTCTGCAGGAGCTGCAGGGTGGCGGCACTGCTCCCCGCTGACGTGGAGAGCCGCTGTCACATGGGGTGGTCTTCTCTTGCCGGTTCCAGATCCATTGTGCTGAGGCGGCAGGAGGAGGAGGCGGAGGAGAAGCCGCAAGATGCCGTTCAGCTGCGTCTTTTCCAGCCAGAAGGTCTACAGCAAACTGAGCGATGTCACCCTCAAGTACGAGATTGGCCAGCTCATCAAATCGTGAGTCTCTGTCTCTCTCTCTGAGATAAAAAAAAAAATTTGTGTTAATTTAATCGTGACGCGCTCGCCAACCCAGGAGCGTCGCACGCGTAGAGAAAGCGCGCGTTCCATCTATCACCTGTGCAGTTTGCGCGAGGTCACAAGGAGCAGAGGGCACGCCAAGGCACGAGGGAGAGGCACTTGCTAACAACTCTTGCGGTGAGCGGAGTAACCGACATTCGGTCACGTAGGGGCATTTTCCCCGCGTGCTTTATCCAGGAACGCCGCACCGAGTCTCCGTGTGAGTGAGCGTCAGGAGGGCCCTGCCAAAAGTTTTCCCAATTGAGTAGATTTTTTTGAGCGTTGTTAATGTTTGGCCAATAGCAGTTGCACGGTGTGACAGGGACGTGCGGTCAGGGGAGGCAGGGGAGGCACAGCCTCCTCTGTCATACTCCTATGAAAATAGCTGTTACGAAAAGTAAAAAAATAATAAAATACAAATTTAGATTTTTTTTAATTTTTCTCCCACTGATCTGCGTTATAAATGTCACTTCTGTATGATTCTGATCATTACAGAGAGATAGTAACGGGCACCCGCTTATTGCCCGCGCTACATCCAGTTTCCGAGGGGTTGCGCAATCAGAGGGGAGGCTGAGCTCGTCGCTGCCTCACAGCGGAGCTCTGCAGAAATGACATAACACAGATCAGTGGAGAAAAAAACATCGTATATTTTTTTTACTTAAACGGTTGTGCTTTCGCTAAGTTGTCCCCACCTGAAGAAGGACGCTTGTGTTGCGCCCGAAACGTCGTGATTTAATTTCTTTCAGTTTTTTTACCTACGTGACTTTACCAAAAAAATCTTAGAGTATCGTAATTTTTATTTTATTATTTTTGACTTTTCGCAACAGCTATTTTCGCTGGAGTATGACAGGTGAGGCTGTGCCTATACCTACGCCCCCTGACCGCACGTCCCTGTACTGTGTGTGCGCGTTTGTCTCGGCGATGGGAGGAAAGCGCAGAACTCACACGACACCCATGCACAGGGGTGGGCAACCCGTGGCTCCACAGCTGCACGTGGCTCTGCAAGGAGCCTCTCCGCGCTGTTATTTATTCAGGATCGTCAAAGCCGCACCTCTCGTATTCACCACAGCGCGTTGCGGCTCTTAAAATATTGAGTTTGTTTCTTCTTGGTTCTTTCGGTAAAGTCACGTAGAAGGGAAATAATAAAATAATAAAATAAAACATAATAAAATAATTCTCACGACGTTTCGGCCACAACGCAAGCAGCCGTCCTCAGGTGAAGAACAGGTCTGTCGGAAAGACAGCGTCTGAATGATGAGAGACCTGTTCTTCACCTGAGGACGGCTGCTTGCGTTGTGGCCGAAACGTCGTGAGAATTGTATTTTATTATGTTTTATTTTTATTATTTTATTACTTCCCTTCTACGTGACTTTACCGAAAGAACCAACAAGATGAATCCCTGCAGTCACGAAAGCTTTAAATCGAAATTTATTGAGTTTTTCTTTTAGTTTTGACCGAATTCCACGCCACCCCACCGCAAAATTAACGACTCCTCTTGCCATGTCGGTTTGCCGACCGCCGATGCCCATGCGGACCAGGGGGGGGGGGGGGAGAACTCAGAAACTCCGCACAGAACGGCGCCCCAATTTGGAGACCGGAGCCAGGAGGTTGTGATGGGCACGCGCGGGGAAGCAGCGTGCAGCGGTGTGGAGGGAATTCGTAGGTGGCTCCCCTCTCAAGAGGCCTGCGACCGAGGCGGATAGACGCACGAAGCCACAACGGTGGCGACGCGATTGTAAAAAGGTTCCTCGCGTTGGCCGGGTGGTTTTCTTCCTTTACATTCTGAGACCTCCTTTGCCAGTAGCAAGATATAGTCATAGGTTTTTACCCTTTTATCTGGCACAAAAACTGACACCTTTATACAAGGGATCATGTTTGCAATAACCACAACACAAGCAGTCAAAATGCAAAGGAGGTCTCGTAATGTAAATGCTTACCCCGTGCTCTCAATACTTTGATAGTTCGCTGTTTTTGAGTTGTACGCCTTTTGGCGTCATCTGGTCCAACACCAGTGGAGACTAGGCTCTAAGAAAAGCCGTCTCGGGTGTGGACCAATCAATTTCAAGGACAGTGCATATCATTATCAGAGTTGTCTAATTTTGACTGCTTGTGTTGTGGTTATTGCAAACATGATCCCTTGTATAAAGGTGCCAGTTTTGGTGCCAGATAAAAGGGTAAAAACCTATTACTATAGTTGTATTCATATTCTCAGGTTTTTTCGGTAAAGTCACGTAGGTAAAAAATTAAAATTACTTGATACAGCTATCGTGCTGTGACGGTTCCACCTGAAGATGGAAGCTTGTGTTGCCTCCGAAACGTCGTGATTTTTATTTTATTTTACTTGTATTAATTTTAAATTGTTTACCTACGTGACTTTACCGAAAAAACCTAAGAATATGAATCCTTGCAGTCACGAAAGCTTCACATCTAGTTTTCTTCATCTTCGTGGCGACGCTTCGCGACCGAACAACAACGAGGTCGTGGGGCTTGGCAGCAGTGGTCGTGACCACGGTGAGCTACCGACCAAGCGACGTTGGCGGGGAAGGTTTGTTACGTGGTGGGGCTTGGGCGAGGGTGGTGAGAGGGAGAGAGGGGGAGGTGTGTTGGGAGAGAGTCGGAATCAGAATCGTTAATTTTAGACTTCAGGAGGAATCCGATGAGCAGTGAAGCTCTTTAATCGCACATGTCCAGTAGGGGCGGGTCAGCGAGTTGCAGCAGCCAAACAATTAAAAAACAAACACGATCAGTGTGCAAAATACAGTGAAAGCTAAGTCACTGAATATGAATAAATGATAAGTACATTCATTATATACATATGTTCCATCTGATCAAGATTGGGCAAGGCGGCAAAAGCGACGACAAAACGAGTCCCAGACCACGCCGAGATGACCACACAGCAGTCGTCACTCAATCAGAGAGTGGAGTGGGGGGGGGGGGCGTGTGAAGGAAGTTGCTTTCATATCCTTCGGCGCGGTCATTAAGAGATGATTTGCAATCACTTGCTTAGTCTCTCCGGTCATTTGTTTCTAACGGTGCGCCCATGCATGTGTTTGTATTTATTTATTTATTCCGTGCCCCCACCCCTCCTCTCCTCTCCTGTTCGTATACTCGACTCATGTCCACGCATTTGCTTGAACGCCACCGCGTGTGCTCATCAAACTGCGCACGCATTTAGCCGCTATCCTCGTCGCAATCGGTGACGGGAGATGTTAACTCCCTCGCCTGGTGTGCAGGAGGTCGTGGGTTCGATCCCGAGCCTGACAATGCCTGCTGTATATTTGGGAGTTTTCGTGTCTCTCTCTCTCTCTCTCGTCATCATCACGGTGGCTGGGAGATGTTAACTCCCTCGCCTGGTGTACAGGAGGTCGTGGGTTCGATCCAGAGCCTGACAATGCCTGCTGTATATTTGGGAGTTTTCGTGTCTCTCTCTCTCTCGTCATCATCACGGTGGCTGGGAGATGTTAACTCCCTCGCCTGGTGTGCAGGAGGTCGTGGGTTCGATCCCGAACCTGACGCCTGCTGCTGTATATTTGGGAGTTTGCGTGTCTCTCTCTCTCTCATCATCATCAAGGTGGCGATGAGATGTTAACTCCCTCGCCTGGTGTGCAGGAGGTCGTGGGTTCGATCCCGAGCCTGACGATGCCTGCTGTATATTTGGGAGTTTTCGTGTCTCTCTCTCGTTATCATCACGGTGGCTTGGAGATGTTAACTCCCTCGCCTGATATACAGGAGGTCGTGGGTTCAATCCCCACCCTGACAATGCCTGCTGTATATTTGGGAGTTTTCGTGTCTCTCTCTCTCTCGTCATCATCACGGTGGCTGGGAGATGTTAACTCACTCGCCTGGTGTACAGGAGATCGTGGGTTCGATCCCCACCCTGACGATGCCTGCTGCTGTGTATTTGGAGTTTGCGTGTCTCTCCCGTGGTCGCGTGGTGTTTTTTCTCCGGGCACCACCGCTGGGCCCGGTCACCGCCCCAAATATGTCTCTCTTTCTCAAAACATCGAGTCACCAACAAGGAACACGTGATGCATTCAGCATGACAGAGCAGCAGACAGCATGGAAGAACAAGCCATGGATTAATTGATTTCATGCGTGGCTCTCATAAAAAGAAGCCAATTCCAAGACGAATTCATAATCCGCTGCTTATTACAAGCACCCGCGCTCGTAGACTCACAAACACTTTTGCGGCATGCTCAGGCAAAGGCAATTACTTCGGTGAAAAGGGAATTACGAATTCCGTTCATGGGGATTCATAAAAGTGCCTCTCAATGAGTCCCCCGGCTTACAGATTGGGCGTCGTCATGCAATGACATTCCGTTATTTCGTTGCTGGAATGATGAACGCGACGGCTGTTTCCATCTCGTCATTACAATGTGCGAGTTATAATACAATAATAAAAATGAAACATAATAAAATAATCATCACGACGTTTCGGCCACAACGCAAGCAGCCGTCTCCCCGACAGACCTGGTCTTCACCTGAGGACGGCTGCTTGCGTTGTGGCCGAAACGTCGTGAGAATTATTTTATTATGTTTTATTTTTATTATTTTATTATTTCCCTTCTACGTGATTTTACCGCAATAACCAAGAAGATGAATCCCTGCAGTCACGAAAGCGTTAAATCGAAATTTAAATGAGCGAGTTGTGTGCCTATGTACGTCTCTCTCTCTATGTGTCTCTGTGATATCTGTCTCTGCTTATATGTCTGTCTATATGTCTCTTGTTCTGTGTTTTATCTCTCTCTCAAATTTAGCATTCTCAGGAAGAACGTAATCAACCAGGTAGGGTGTTGACTGTTATGTTATCCAACTCTCTGTTGTATCACATTACATTTCTAAGTATACTAGATTTGTGTTTCTATTTCATTTATACCTGATGATGATTGCTTGTATTGCAATCGAAACGTCGTATGCGAGTATTTAATTTATTATTTTTT